ATTCCTGCACTTCAGTTGGGTAACTCAGTTTGGCTGCAAACTGTACTTTGGTTGTTTTGTAGGCGAAATAGAATTATGCCTTCAGGTGACTGTTTGAAGATGGGAAACTTTCCCATCTCTAGGCCACAGCAAAAACAGGCATTTGACTGAAGAAGCCTTGCAATTATCTATGTCATATGGGAGACTGCCTGAGAAGGTCAAATTACACCACTACTGTACAGTAATGGGTGATACTGACAGAGTTTGGACATTTTATTTTTGTTTGCTAGTTAAAACAGCAAGATCTGTCAGACCCCTTAGAAACTTAAACGCGTGTAATGTGCAAAGGAAGAGTTCTGATGTTCTGTGGTCCAGAACAAATAACACAGTTTACTTTTACTGTTTCAGCAGCATTTAGCTGAAACGCCCCACCTTGATATAAGAGATAATTGATATAAGAGACTAAACACGATAGTGTGGGTTCAGGCTGTTTCACTTGAGCAAGCTATTTATATAAGGCAGGGGGAAGATTGATTTGCTTGTGAAAGAATATCTTGGGTGTAGGAGGAACATTGCTGAATTAGGATCTCTGTGTGAACAGATATACTAAAGTGGGGAATAAAAAAGATTTCTGTTTATGTAACATGCTGCATAGTGCATGTTGCTTTATTACCAAATACTAGGAAAAGTTTGAGAGGTTTAAATCTAGATTGTGCACATTATTCTAGAGCAGGCCAAGAAAAGCACTTGTCCATAAACCTGCAAGTGTATGGTATCATAAAAGTAACTTACCATAACATGCAAGATAAGATAAGTGCCATTATAGCATTTGGGGAATAAATTTAACACTGCATGATATACTCAGAAAGAAAACAGTTAATAAAAAATTAATGCTTTAGCTAAGAGTTTCAGTACTTGGCTATACTTGACAATCAGTACTTTAGTACTTGATAAGCTGCATAATTATCAGAAGAGTTCAAATTAAAAAAAAATCTTTAGGTTGGTCTATGTTGGTCTAAGAGCTTGGCAGTGTTAGCTAAAGCAGGAGATTTAGGATATTCCTAATTGCTCTTACTAAGTGTGATGTTTGACAAATAGCTTAACAACTCAGGTGCCTTGCTCCCTACCTCTGTGAAATACAGATAATACTCATGTTTGTTAAACTTGTGTGCTATTCTATGAAAAGGTCTCAGCAAATGTGATATAAAATTCTGTTATAACAATATATTTTATCGCTCCTACCAAGAAAATGAGCTTTAATAGATTCCTTTCTGCATTTGGTGTCACTAACAATGGTGAGACCGTCATCTTTAGAGTTTCAGCAGCTCAAAGCAATACAGCCACACAGATAAATTCTCCTTTAAGTACAGCAGAGATTTTACTTCACTGACAATTTATAGAACCAGAAAAAAAACTTCTTCTTTGTTCAAATTAATATCTATTTTAAGTTAATATAACATTAAAATCACAATAGGCATCCATGCTGTTGCTTGACATTAAAAAAAATTAATTTAACTCTGAATCTTCCCAATTTATGGTATTTAAATATGGGTTTTTTCCCAACTCTCAGGTTTGGAGATGGATATTCGATCAAAGTTTGCCTTAACAAAGAAACAAGTTATCAGAATGCTATCTTGGATTGTCTGCAGCTACATTTTCCAGGAACACAATTTAAGGTAAGTCACAAATGCTGTAGTGCATTAACTGGAATAGTAGTTCAGACCAGTTGTCTTGGTGGCAGAATCAAGTACAGGCTCACAAAATGTTAGTTTTCATAAATTAGACAGCTTCTCAATTTTTCTTGAGAAACAATTTATTTTATTTTATTCTATTTGTTTTAATTGATTTGTACGATATTAAATTGTAACCTTCAGTTTCATGGCTGTTTTGGCAGCCTCAGTAGTGTGACTGGTTTGTGATCCTCAATCTCCTTTGTGCTTTTGTTCAAGTTTCTAATACGTATGCATGAACCTGATGCTTGATCCAGTGATATCAGTGACATTCTTTCCTGTGACTTCACTGGGCTTTGGGTGAGACAATGACATTGGCCAAGTACAGACATTACACACACATTTCTTTAAGCGATCAGAAACTGGTCTAAACCTGTAAAAGAACAGAAGTTTGGTGCCCATAGACTGGTTTAAAAACGGCAGAACCCAGTCTAAGAAAGACCTGGGTGGATTTGCTTTCAGACCTAATTTGTTTAGGTTACACCACTCTATCAAACTTCTGTACCAGATCCCCTCTCAACTCAAGTTAGGTCACAGTCTGCCAGCATCCCAGGCACCTTTCTAGCCTCCCATTCCCCACTTGCATGGAAGCGCACTGGAACTCGGCTCCTGCTCAGCTGCTCCAAGCTGTTAGCTGCAGGCAGGATGTGGTGGGGGAGTGTGCATCTGTAGCTCTGTATTTTTTATCTTTATACAGTGTCCATAGGCTGGGGGACAGGGGGCAGGGGAGCGGTGCACTCCACAGAAGGAAAGATTGGGTCCCTCAGAGCTTTAGCTTGCAACAGGCAGTGGCAGCAGGTTGAGGGGGAGGAGGCATGCTTTTGTAGCTGCAGGGGAAAGGACTTCAGCTGGGAACTTGGTGCTAGCTCCAGGTTGGAGATATCCTCTGAACCCTTCCTGGAGCTGCTCCAGCACACTGTCCCAGAGTTTGGGACAGGGAGGGACAACCTGTGCTCCCCTGACCTGGCCAGGAATGTAGGTGTGCTGCTGGCACCGTCTCCCCCAACAGCTTGCAAGTCCCACTTCCCCCTGCCTCTGTCCTGCTGGCGGGCAGACTCCTCTGCCCCGACCCTGGACAAAGCCCAAGGATGCCTATGCTGCTGTGAGCAAGAATGAGCACACCTTCCTTTGCTGGCTGCCTGCAGCTGACAGCTGCCTGACAGATAACAGGCAGTGAGGTGAGGTGTGTGCCTGAAAACCAATTAGGGATGACTTGCCACTCAGCTGCATTCAGTTGCCCTCAGCAGTCTCTGGCATGCTGGGAGGTGTGCAGGAGTACCCCCAAGCTGTTGGCCTTGCTCAGTGCAGGCAGCCTATGTACCCTTCACATGAATGGGTGAACTTGTGTTCTGTTCATTCCCAAGCTAACATAGCCCACTTAGAGAAACCCACATAAGTTGGTTTGAATCCGCCTTGGGCTTTTGAATGTCTGTACCTAGCCTTTGTGACATGACAGCAATGACATCATAACTTTTCATTTGGATTCTGTTATATTGACATGGGAGTGGTGGGCGGTGCTGTAACTGAAAGCTCTTTGGCAAGAAGGATTCAGTATGGTGAGCTTGAGCATCCCTAAATTGGGAAACAAAGAATCAAGTTTGAGGAGAAAGTATATATCAGTATTTGCTGTTAACTGTAGACTTGTTTATGATGCCAATTTTTGCAGAAAACTGTCTACCTTCCCCCTATCTTGGGCCATGTGGATTATATTACAGAGCACAAATCACATATATTGCTACAAGAATAGTCAATAATATTTATGGATGTTTATTTTTTAGGGACAGCATCTTAATCTGCTGGAGTATCATGTCCCACGCAGATGGGGCTATTTAGCAGAGCTCTTCAAAGTCCTGGAAAACCACAAACTTTTGTTCCAGATCAAGCACTACTCCATTAGCCAAACCTCTTTAGAACAGGTATTGTTCCTTCACTGGGTTGACTTTCTGTTTTGGAATGTGCTGTGCTATTTTAATTATACAATAGAAGACTACTGTATAAGACAGGGGCAGGCAGTTATTTCAGGCAGAGGGCCCCTTAGAGAGTTTTGGCAAGCTGTTGAGGGCTACCAGCCCCACCTCTTGATAGGTGCCCTGCCCCCTGGTCACCATCTTGGGACTGGAAGTCCCGCCCCCGAATCCCCAAACTTTGCCACCAGAAGTCCTCCCCTTGCCCCCAGAAGTAGTCCTTTCAGCAAGGGGTTTTGTCATCTCAGAACCAGAAAAATACCAAATTATATTCTAAAAAATGAACATCTACAACATTCATTAATTTGATTTCAAAAAATATTTTTGTCCTGATTTGCATGTGTTTGTGTAGTGCACATAGAGGTGATTGCATAATATCTTAAAATGAAATCTTACTATCGTATATTGTGTGGGGTTGGGTATAGGTTTGTGGGGGCTGTGGGTGTGTGGGTTTGTGAGGTGGGGGAGAGTGTGGGTGAGTATGATGAGTATTGGTGGCCACCGTGGGGATGGATAGGTGTGGGTGTGGAATGAGGGAGCATGTGGGTGTGTGTGTGGATATGTGGGGTGTGGGCGGGTATGGAGTTTGTGGGGGGTTGTGTGTGGGGGAGAGGGTGGATGGGGTGTGGGGGTGTGTGGGTGTGGGGGTCTCTGTGTATTGTGGCAGTGCAAGGGGGGTGTGGGTGCATGTGTATGATGGGACATGAGTGCAGGACTCACCCTATGAGCGAGCGCACGCGCGTGCACACCCTCCCCACTGTGCTGCACTCTCTCTCTCTCTTGCTCTACTGCCCTCATTGCACATGCACACATATACACTTTCTGTTCCCTCATTGCTCTTTTTTCTCTCTTCCCCTACCTCCCCTGGTCCAGTGATGCAGCTGAGGGCCATGTAGTGCTGGAGCCGGCGGGTGGGCATGCAGGGAAGTAGTGAAAGCGGTGGCAGGCAGAGGCTTCTGGTTCCAGGGGATGGGGGTGGGGCAGGGCCAGGTCAGACTTGCTGCTGGGTACTGCCAGCTTCTCCTGGGTCCTACTGCCCCTGGCTCCTGTGATCTTTGATAGGCAGCCAGGAGAAGATTAATATTAATTTTCTAAAATTTTTAGGGGCCCCATTGGCCAGATAGAATGGCCTGGCAGGCCATATCTTGCTCGCCCCTGGTATAAGGCTTATGTAGAGCTGATCTAGTGTCTGTAGTAAAGCATAATTGCCTTGTAACTAAAGGAGATTTTTCTTTAGCTCAGATGGTTGGCATTTTTTTCTTTGAATCAGGTATACAGTTTGTTGGCATTTGCAATCTACATGTCACAGTGGGAGCACTTTAGAAACATACAGATTGACAGGAGTATAATATAGGGGTGGTGATGAAATTCCTGGGTGCTATTGATGTGCTAGAACTTGTCCATGTCTAACTTCTCATTATGTGTTATGAAAATAGTAAGAAGCAAAACTGGCCAATATATTAACTGTGTCCTGATGTTTGGTGTAAGTTTAGTACCTTTCCTCATGTGCAAATCATTCATGAAGCTACTTGTACTTTAGCTATTGATTAACCAGTTTATGCAAACAAATTTCATGCTGGGGACTATTCATTAACTATTTGCTCCAGCTTGTTCATTCTTCATTCTTGATGGTGAACAATTAATCACTTCAGTCACCTAGCATTATTCAGCTCATTGACTGAATGAGTAAAAGCTTCAAACAGGAAAACAGTACTTCTGAGTAACAAACTCTTGTTATTGGCTGAGTGTATTTGACTGTGAATATGCTTATTTGAATGAAGAATCGCCACCATTCAAAGATTTGCATGATCCCAAACCCCATACATTTCATATAAATGGAGGCAACATGAAATAAGAGGGCTCGGTTATGGCTGAATCAGACCGCCATTGGAAAATCACATAGATGACCCCCCAGACCAGTTTGCTCTATTCAGAGGCAAGGTATGGGCACCTGAGCAAGTTACAAAGATGTAAATGAGGTCAAGGACTTGATGCTTTTCAGCTTCTCCACAGTAAGTACCCATGTGCAAGCTCTTGACCCACAGTAAATGAAACCCCTTGACAATGAATAGGCTACTGTGCATTACTTGCATTTACTGTCGGATACAATGATGAGTATTGGTGGCCACTGTGGGGAAGCTGATGTGCTAGAATCCCCACCTTTTTTACCATGTGATAACATGTTTGTATGTCATGCAAGGGCCTGGGCATATAATTTTTTTCTTTAAATATATGGGCTCTCATCTGACACAGGAGTAGGATGAAACTCGTGATTTTTTTTTTTGCCTCAGTTTGTGAATGTTAAATATAAGCAAACGTCAACATGATTAACAGTAAAAAAAAATGTTTGTATAGTATCTATAACTTTACTTGATAAACTGAAGGGATTCCATCAATATCAAAACACAACTTTTGTTTTAGAAAATGTCTTTAAAAATGACCTGAGGAAAAGATCACTAAGATATATAAAAAAATTCCAACTAATGTTTCCACTGTTGCATAAACCCTGATACGTTGTGTCTTGCAGGTATTTCTTAATTTTGCTAAACAACAGCAGGAAATCTCTAGCTCTGCACAAGACTCTTCCACCAGTCGTCATTACCGTCTGCCAGTCTAGGCTCTGAGCAGGACATAATACAGCAGTATCTTTTATAAGCAATAAAATTTTTCAGCTGGACACAGCCAAGCTGTGTGTGGGAGGCTGGGGTGGAGAGAAGGGAAACTTGCAATTTTAGAGGCCGAAGTCGGAGGTAGCACCACTTAATAGTAAGAATGATTAGTAGATGTATGCATGCCAAAAAAAGAAAGAAAAAGCCCCAAATTGTACTCTTTGGGGTTTTTTTTAATAAGCTGGACTTTATTAAAGAAGGGTCTCTTTTGCCTAATTAACGTAAATATATAACATAGCAAAAGGACTGATGTGGAAATGTCAGTCTATAGTTGGATCTTTTTGGTGAATCTATATTAATTTGACTACAATAATTTTCTCTTACATGCACATTTAAACATCTGGGGGTTTTTTTACAATGGAGGAAAAATCCATTGGATATTGGGAACAGCCATGCTATCAAACAATATATGTATCTAATACTAATGAGAGCCTTTTGACTTCTCCATTAATTCAATTCTGTGTTGTGACAAGTTAAATTAGTATTATTGTATAAAAGAGGCACTATATTTCATAAGGGATTTATGTTAAAAAGGGTATTAGTATACTACTCTGCCTCACAGCTATGTTAATTTAGCAAGATTTGATAAATCATACATGACAATAAATTCTCCCTTGTACCCGTGGTCTGCTTCTTTAGGAATTCTGAATATATCTTTAATAATGACCTACTTTGTTTTTGTTAGCTTTTAGAAATTACTGTTTTTTCTTTTTCTAAGAGAATGTCAAAATAGGTTTGAATGATATATTAAAAGTAAATGAGATAAGCATAGACACACTAATCAATAAACTTTTTATCAAATTTACGCTGATTTAAGCTTTTTCATAAATGGTCAAACTACAGCCTTCAATGGAGTCACCAAGCTGCTGAAGTGAAGTCTTTTAATGAATAAAAACTGAGCTGCTTTCATGGTTCTCCCTCGTATTGTTGCTGTTTTGAGGCTGGAAGAAAGTTCAGAATTTCCCGGGGGGAAAACTCTCAGCTTTCTTTTAAAATCAAGTCCTTTGGGAACTGTGTGAAAGTTGTTTATATCACTTTTATTAGTCTGCATTAACTGATGGTTGAAATCACAGAACATTGATTTAATAGAAAAGTATTTCTGTGGTACAGTTTCTGTGAAAATTAAAGTGTACATATTGAGATAAAAGGATCTGATCAGATGTAATCAGTGTTTCAGTGTCCCTGTTCTAATGCCAATCTGTTTCAGGATGTAATTTTAAAAGGTTACTGGTATCTGATAGGGTTTTCAAGCCAACTCAGAAGGGCTCAAGTCTCACACTGAGAGATGTGTTTTTGGAACCTAATAATGTGTCTTTTAAAGTTAGAACTCATGTTTCCCACTTTGACAGCATGCTCTTGTCCTTTCTGAAGAGGTTATTCTTTATGTGACATCCTGAAAAGTTAATTTTAATTATTTGGGGAATATGGCTACATACAGCTCCTGGTTGAGATTACCACTGCATGCCGTAGTGAATTTGGAGTCAGAATTGTGCCATGTGTCTTCCAGACATGGGGCAATAGAATGCATCAAACCCTGGTTACTCCCATTCCAGTACAAAGCCCTGGGTTAATGGTTATGGTCACATTCTCACTAAAACCATTTTTTTCCAGACTCTACATGGGGCTGGAGCTGGGAGAGCAGAATACAATACATCTGTCAGTGCTTGCTTTTTAGCACAGGGCCTGAGAAAGTTTCATGGGAGTGGACAGGAGAGGAGGCATTAGAGAAACTTGGAGGTTTAGGCAGAGCAGAAGGGTGTGTCTTCATAGTAAAGGGGGTTTGCTTAACTGCAGGGCCAGGCAAGAAGAGGAAAACTGGCTATATGAGATTAGAGAGGGAAGGAGAAGCCACATGCTAGTCAGGGAACCTGAACCCCTGAGAGACCTCTGAGCTACAATGAAGGTTAGGAAATGGTAAATAAATATTCATACTCTTTACCCTAAATGCTGTGCTGCTTTTGCTAATGGAAGTAAAGTGTTTGGTGTTTGGGGAACCTTCCAAAGTATCTGTATTTGTTTGCCTCCACTACTGCATATGTCTCAGGAGATAACCTGTAAATACAGAGTCCTTGAGGGCACAGACAGATGTGACAATTTGTGCCCAATCTAGATGCAGAAAGTGAGCTATAGCCATGACCAAACACAGGTGCACAGCTGCAGACAGCTTAAAAATGGCTGATTGGGTGAAAATCTGAACCCTCATTGCATGAGGGGTCAGATGAAGACGTTTCAAAACAGAGTGACTTCTGTAACTTCTGTCTGTGCTGTAAGACTCAGAGCTCTGAGAAAGGGGGTACTTCAGTAAATGGAGTATTTGAGTGGCTCAGCACAGGTTCTGGGGCTGCAAAGTCTCAGCTAGGTGAAGGAAAAACACATACAGAGCCTGTACCTCAGAAGTGTGCCCAAGAGGTCAAGGAAGGGGCCAGTGTTGCAGCCTACAAAGACCAAAGGAAGATTTAGAGCACAAGGATTCAGTATGGAGAGACTGAATAAATGAAGTTTGGTGAATGATCAGTTGGGGATCTCTGCTAGCATCATTAATTATCATTTTTTTCTGATTCAAATATGACATTTTATTAGTGTAATGAGGTAATAAAGTAAATAAGTTTTATTTTACACTGGTGGTTGAATATAATTCTGTTAAAAATACTACTCATCTTGGAATCTCTTCATCTGTTTCTTAAGGGACCCAATTTAATTTAAGCAAGTAGCAAACAATGTCTCTTTC